TGAGTGGCCATTAGGGAAGTATATCCACCTGTGGAAGCCATAACAAGACAGCAAAGGAAGCATAGTGTGGCATTTTCTCTGCGAAATGTGCCCTAGTAGCAAATGGTTGGGCCCTAAACTGGAACCTGGCCTCGTCTGTAAGCCAACTCCGCCCTAGTGCAGGTATCGGCGTCTGCGATATCCGATGTCATTACATTACGTTACGCTCTGATTTCTTCTGAGGCAGTGAGGGCGATCATTTGTGTAGTCTGCGTCTAAGGGCACCAAAACGGAGACTAAACGACTTATTTGCTCCCCACTACTTTAAAAAAATTGAACAAGTTTGAAGAATAATATTAAATTTCGGTAACAACATCGTGATCAAGATAATAACAAAAACGGATTAACTTGGCTCAACTTGTTTCAATTTATAATATACATAAAAATTTCATTCTAAAATCGCATTCATTACATAAGGCCCATCTTGTAATCTTGCAACGCCATATCCTGCTGGGTGCGCTCATTCAGATAGTCACATTAGAAACTCGAAAACTCGTCCAAGCGCAGCAAACTCCGAGACGTGCAGACTTCTCCTGGGGTCAGGTCACCAAAGCCATGGTTAAGCTAGGGTTAAGGCCTAGGTTTGTGCTTACGCTTACACATTGGCTTATGCTCAAGCCTATGATTGGGCCTAGGCTTAGTCCTAAGCTTGCTTCGAACAAATGAATGGTGTCTCAAATTTAGGTGGCCTGACCTGAGGAGGAGAACTGCAACGCACCCAACTGTTCCATATAAATTTGGGTCAAACAATTTTTTTGAGTTTCTTCCTCGATTTCGCACAATTTCACGCCCTCATTTTCAAATTTAATAAACACAGAATTTCCGTACTCATCGCTCTCAAATATTTGAAGGTCAGATTTTGAAGGGAAAATTTGGAAACAGAATTAGAATTCCTTCACAACCGATTATTGATTCTGGGTGATACGGAATTCCTACCAAATAATTAAATTTTTTACGTGAAGCTCCACTATTTTAGCGCACTCGGCTGTCCCCGTGGTTCTGCGTTATAGACCACGTGACGACAGACACTCGTTCTTGTAGTGTGGAACTGGTTTCTGCGCTTCTCGGACACCAGCTAACCAGTTGTCAGTTTCAGAGCACTGACTTCCTGACGTTACTGGAAAAGATGCAAAGTCAACGACTTGACGAGCAACGATGCGAAATGCCCGACTTACATGTGAGTACGGTAAAATTTGTCACCTGATTTAGCCTTTTTGGGTTAATTGGATCTTCTGGAGAATCCAGCAAAGCGCATTCGCTTTGGACTTGAACCAGGCGGAAACTAGTAATTACAAAGCCACACCAACTGGCTCCAAGCTAAACTATTAGCGTTTTTGAACCTTCAATCTCAGCTGCAAGTTCCCGAATTGTTCCGATACTCGATTGCTCTCGTAGAATAGCCAGCCAGTCGTGCCCGTCTGTCGAACGGCTCTCGCCCGAGTGGAACGACGGGAGGGTTCACTCGTGTGTCGCGTTCCTCGATTGAAATGAAACCTCCTCGTTCGCGCACTATGCAAAGCGCTGAGGATCAGATGACGACCACCGACGAACATCGGTCTTATCGGCGGCCGTGTGGCCCCAGTGACGACCACCCGCCTTGCACCTCTCAGTCAGTCACCATCGGATTGCATTGTCATGCCGCTCGACTTGCTACTCATTTCATCCAACTCTCGTCAGAAAACCCCGTCATCATTCCACGAAGCTCTTCTTATGACAGGCCTTTCCACCACAGCACCGCCACATGCCATTGTAATGTTTTTTGGGGGTGTTCGCCCTCTGGCAATGCCTACCGCCGCCGTTACCGCCGCCGCTAACCACGAGAGAAACTCGTTTCTGAACTCGCTAGTTGAATTCTCTGAATAGCATCTTTGCAATTTGCTTTAAAAGCGAAATTTTGAAAATTCTCTTTTCTACGGCGGGTTTGGAACCCGCATCCAGCGTTTTGGTGCTTTCTATTATTCTTGAACTTGGAAAACTTTTCCAAGGAATCGATCCGCGTTTACCATCTCTAGTCTTGTCTAATCAACTCACCACTGATTATTTTATCATTCATATCGCTCAAAATCACTCAATTAATCACTCTAAAGTCTCTCTTGAAATAAAACTGCCCAAATTTCCGATTCACGCGTGAGTACGCTGGGCAATTCCTTTTTCATCTAGCCTGTTTAGTTTACCTGAGCTTCTGTTAAGCTTGCTAGATGGCACCTGTATCTCACCATATCTTTTCGCTTATTTTAAAACTTCTCCAATCACCTCTCTCCCG